CTATCTACACGTGACGAGCTCGATAAGGCTCTTGGGAAGCTCGCAGATCAAGCAACTCGGTGCGAGTTGCTCACATCAAATTGAAGTATCGAGGACGACTGCTACAGATGGACAGGATGGCTGGGTGGACAAGCTTGCCTCTTCTCTGGTCTTTATCATCAGCTCCGTTCCTTCCCCTAACGCAACTATTAATTCACTGTCATCTAGTAAAGAAGATTCTTGCTGAGATCAACGGCGGTGCAAGTATCTCTCGCTCCTGCGGACTGGAAGGACTTTGATCTGGCTGGGTTCGCCTGAGGATACGTTCCAGCGTTGAGTACATCCCTTTGATCCACATCGAGTCAGGATCTGGGCAAGCATAAATCGAATCACCAACTTTAATTCATGAATTGCTTAAGTTTGCAGCAAAGCACAGGTACTCGTACATCCTCTCGTGACGAAATTCCGATGAGGGATTAACCAATCAAATTGTGACAACTAGGAGAAGGAAAAGGTAAGGTAGCGTAACGTTCTTTGCAATGAAAGGACACTTTCACTTCTATAGCAAGTGTTACCAAGAACAAGGAAGAGACTATAGCCAGGTAGACGATGTGTCTCTGATAGCTACAGGCTTCCGGAGACAACTCGATACTAGGAACGCATGTGTTCCTGCTTGACAGATCCTCATCTACTGAGGATTTCAATGAACGCTGGCTATGACAAAACGTCTTTAGTACCTGTGATGTAACCCTGAGTCATCCTACCCACTACACATCTTCTATTGAAGATATCTGGGTGCTACTTCCTCCCGCTGCGGTAATGAAAAGCATAGCAAAAGGGATAGCAGAGGCAGCAGAGGCAACAAACAAGTGTATGCAATCCGTCTTTCTTTGCGTAGTTATATTGAGTCGGCGCAGGTCGATTTTTGACAGGAGAATCCTCCAACCTTGTGTACAGGCCTTACGACCCTAGTGAAGGTTGGACTTCTTCTTGTCAGATCTTCGTTTCGCGTGGCGCACATTGTTTCACCTTTCGGCTGCAGAAGGAGGCCAAGCAATATTCATTGTGTCTTAGCCTCTCGCCTTCGAAAATCAAGTGATTCATCGACGCCACTTTTCGTCGCTATCACGGATATTTTTATTCATCAAAAGCTGAGATGTACACACCATTCTCCGAGAGTCACTTACGCCCCTTTCTGTTAATGCAAAGCCCTTCGACTACAAGGCGCAGTGGCTGTCAATGATGATATGTCACACCCATGCCTTCTGATCGTGGCAAGACACGTATAAAGGCACGAGGATAGTCGGTTATTCCTCTTTTGTGCGCATCCCACTACTTGATCTTGCAGTCCTGGTTAATCTTCACACCCAAATCCAACTTTTCAAATGCGTTAACCAAAGTTACGAGAGACGGTGCTACTTTGGCACTTTGTGTTCACTGAGCACCTCACGTGGTCATCAGTGGCAATCTGACCTTCTCACGGCTACTGCGGCAAGCCCATCAGACTAGTGATTTGATGTCGGTGGAACTCGAGCGGGCGCGGGCAAGTTTAAGGGCCAGTCGATCTGCAGGCGGCCGCTGCTGCGGAGGACCGCTGGTACTCGAATCTATATAAAGACAGGAGGCGATAAATCGAGAAGACCCTATTGGTGGACTTTAGATGTTACTGAACACCGCTAAACTTTCTCCGTCTTGGCGGACAAGCCACCCGGCTCGTTGCCCTTGCCTAGAAAGATTCGTTGTGATAAGCACTGCCCACGTTTTACAAAATGCCTGGTAGTCTACCACTTGTAAAGGTAACGGGGGCGAAAGCGGTGGCAGTGAGCACACATATCTCTTACAGATGGTATCATCCCGAGCAATGCTCTGGTTTCATCTATCTTGCTTTGTTTCCTCGATTGTCACCCACATTACCTCATCTACAATCGTCTTCCAGAGATTCTTTCGTTGGCCGGCAATCGTTTAAACCATTATTACCGCACACAAATAGTTATTACGATCCACTACCAAAACCCTCATTATGTTCACTCCCACAAGCAGGCAATGGTTAAGCGTTCTTCGCCTTACGCCGATAATACTCGGTTCGATCCTGCTCTTCGCCTGTACCGACTTAGGTTTGGCCATCGCCTACGCCAAACAGCTCTTCAACGCTCCGCTGGATGAAAGTAAGTGGGACTATACTAGAGACAGGCGGTGGTCCACTGCGTGAGTAATCCTCTAGTGATCTTTTAAGGTTCATACTGTATACTTTGGCTGTTGTACACTCCTTTATGTTGCAAAGATGTGTCTTTCTATCTCTTCCTCCATACTGCTAACCTCCCTGCTACTCTCGGCTGACGATTCAAACAGCTGGTTTCTCCTCTACTCCGGATTCTTCCCATTCCTCAGCGTTACTCACATCACCGTCGATGCCGCGCTCTTCTTCTTTGCGCAGCTTAACCCTATCTGCACTCTCACATTTTCGATTCTGCTGTCCCTCGGCTGGATCATTCAACTTTCCTTCTGGTGTCATTGCGACTATGGCCCAGACTCTAACACATGCTACCAATTCTATATCATGGGAGACCAGCACTCCGATATGAATAGTAGCCTGAGTGGGGTCTCCGGAGGAATCACGGGTGCGAAGGTGATTTTTGGAATGATTGTGCTTGTTCTGTAAATTTCATACCTACAAATCTTGTCTTTCCGACATTGACCATGACTAGGTATATTGCGTATCTGACACTCGCCGCGACCGCAGTGGAAAACATGAGAAGAACGGGTCATGTTAGGATAGATGACCAAGAGGAGCAAGGGCTAGAGGATGGCTATTCGATAGAGAACAGACATTTAGCCTCTCATTCGGTCGAGCACCTCAGGAGTCTAGGCAGTCTCTTGAGAGGAGGCACGGGCGTGTGAAATCAGTTCGGTTCTGCCCCGACATCACACCTTTTCTTAGTCCTGGGGTATGCTTGGGTACATTTGATCCTTAGAGTCAATCACTAGTACATTTTATGTGCCCTCTCCTTACTGAGGAGAATGATGGCGGTTTACTGTATTGTGGGTTGTTGATGAAGAATTTAATACACCTCTTTTGCATTTTGCAGAGACTTTCCGAATCTTCAACACCAGCGCGGTCTTTTACTTCCTCAGAAGTAGGTCGAAGAGTCTTTCAACACCACCACCAAATCGGCATACCTGCGAGAAACCCTGGGTATCGCTGTCATCATCATCATGGTACCCTACATCTAAAGATCAATTGTCAGCCATCAGCATCTTAGTCCAAAGGCTGAGTGACTCTACGGCTGTAACTATTTATGTGCGGAGAAAAATACATTTCGTGTCGCGGAATGAGCTATCTTTCACTTGGAAATGGTACGATAAGAGGGGTAATGACTTCAAGTTGCAGACTCGTTGTATCCAAAGTGATGTCCACGCAACTTTGCCCGTTCCTCTTGTCCATAGACCAATGGGACGTCCAATTCCCCCTGCCTACCTCCATCACGGAATGATATTTCTGCAATAAGTTGCGAAGGTCGAGTGCCAGACATTTAGGACGTGAAATCACACTTCCGGCAAACGAGCCGCCGGAACATCCCTTCAGTAGGCTGTCTGGACCCTGGGTCACAATGTCAATTTGGAATCTGAATTTCAATGCTAGACTTGCCTGGAAGATGTACGTCCAAAAGATGGCGGATTTATAATCATACAGGTTAGTCGCCTGCAAGCGCGTAAAGACGACAGTGATACTGCACAGCTGCCACACAGTACTAGAGGTGTTTCGAACGAGTTACGAGTCCAGGGAGTTCAAGGTTTCCTTGTTCGTATCAGGTAGATCTATAGTTCTTCATCATTCCCCGAAACACCAGTCCCAGCTAGTGCCGCACGAATTCGGTCTTCAACACATGTTTGAGAAAGAGATCCGCACTTTGTGCCTTTTCTTCAGTACAGCTTCGAAGGGCGTTACGACCTGTTTCTCGTCTCATTCTCCCCCCGCGCGTGCACTACAGATCGATATTCAAAGGAGGCCCGCCACTAGGATTAGCAAGTGGGCCCGCAGGAGAGTCGGTAATGATGATATCTGAAGGGTCCAGCACAATATTTCCCACGGTGCCTCAAGAAATCTCAGAACTTCGAGGATATTCGCAACTTCGAGGATCTTCGCGTGTCCATGGCAGACTTCAAATCCTCCACTTTCATATGAATTGGTACGGCCAGAGTGAGGTGCTCAAGCACTCTGAATACTATAGCGAGTGGAATGCATAGCTTCATTTTGAACCTGGTGGAGATTTTAAATAGAGGTAATCACAATTCTACGAAGCGGTACCCTGACTGGAGAGCATAATTTGAGAATAAACGGAATCGAAATGTCGCTAACCTTGACTTCGGTGAAGGAAAGCACGTGTACGCATATCAGGAGCAGGAATTTCATCAAGTTTTTGCATTTTCAAAGCCATTGAGCGCATCTTGCACCCCAAAAACATCCCCTTTGTCAAAAAAATCTACCAGAATCCCTTTTGGAGCCCTATCATGTTGCTGTTGACACAACCTGACTTGAGCATTAATACTTTCACCGCTGGTTGCAGAATTTGTCTTCCGAGCATCTCGCCTGTCGGGTATGTCCATACCCAACATTTCGGTGTCCAGGAAATGGTTGACGATATACATGAGATGGTGAGACTGAGCAGGGTCATTGACAACGCCACCAGGTCGATCAATGATGCATTGAGGAAAGGATGGATCGGTCATGTCGAAAGGCGTCTCCCAGAAATACAAGAACTCGGGGAGGATATAAGGCACAGTGTCCAGCGCCCCATAGTCGAGGAACGCAACAAGCCTGGTACCATTTCCGATTAACTCTCCGAGAGTCGGCCATGAATCTAGAATAGAAGGGTCATGGCTCGGTCCTGGAACGTACGCGTACGGCTGGATGCCGCTTGCAGTGAAGACTTTGTCAAAGTCGTTGATCGGGACGTTGTCACCATTGGTGAGTAACAATGTGACCACCTCTTTCGGATGCGTGTCCAACCATCCTTTAACCACTTCGAGGTATGACTCTACACTCCCTGCGTCTTTGAGAAAGCAAGAAGTATGGCAGAGACTGAGTGTTCCAACAACGTTTCGGTGGGTCTGCGCCTGCAAAAACCGGACGCCTGCGTCCAATTGAGCCGTGACATCGACATCCTGATCGTCCGTTGGTAGAATACCCACGAATGCGGAGTCATGAGTCGCTATTTGGGTAATGTTTGAGTATCTGCGATCGCAAAGCTCCACGTGGCCATTGCAGCCGACCTGAGCTTGTGTGTGGAGGTGGACTAGCATTGGTGTTATCTCTTCCATGAAGTTGATGATTGCTATGGCCAGGATAGTGGTGCATGCTAGGCAAAGGATGGTATAGTTGAAGATAACTCTGAGGCGCACCTCGGTGTTGCGGATACGCATTTCGCTAGTTTAGCCAAGCTAGGAAGAATGTGATTGTGATATTTTCTGCTGAAAAGATTGGTGGGTTTCACAATGCTCTTATGTTCGTGTGCCATTGTTGTTCAGTGATGAATGGCGTCGATTGAAAAAAGAACTATGGTGTTGTCTTACTCTATAATGGCTTTCGCTCAGGTACAATACGGACTTGGTAGCTTTTTTCTCCTGTCATTGTTGAGATACACAAGGCTTTTGGTCGTGCAACAATGCGACTAAGCTTTGTTTCAGGCTTCAACACAATGATACTTTCTGATTGCTTTGTGTATAGCTCATCATCATGCAATTGTATCTTTAAATATGTTTTCTTCATCCCCTTTGTAAAAGCATCAGATCAAAGCACTTTTCAGTCGAGAAGCAGTGAAATCCAAGTGAACTTTCAACAGACGCCTTTAAGATGGCAGAGACTTTCCTGGCTCAGCTCCCCACGATCCAGAAAAAGGATTGGCCAGAAGACACAACCTGCATGATATGCAAGGAAGAATACGGTACGGCAGCTTTCGGGAATAGTCCTGGAGAGGCAGCAGTGCTTCTACCCTGCGGCCATTTCTGCGGTTTCGACTGTCTCTCCTCTTGGCTATCGACTAACCTGAATAGGAACTCTTGCCCATACTGTCGGCGCGAACTCTTCGCCTTCACTACCCGAGTTGAAGCTGATGTTTTGCTTCTTCAAGGTCATCCTCGCCAAATGTCCGAAGACTTTAATGTTCTTAATTCACTCATGAGCTGGAGCTGGGCAAGAGAGTCTCGAGAAGTCCTCGAAAGATGGCTAGAATGGCTCGACAGCTGGGCATTCGCACTTCATCACGTGGATCAAGCGAGAATAGAGCACGCAAGGGTAGCTCGGGGCGAGCTACTCACTCGTATTGGGTGGTCGGAAGTTCCTCGAACGGATTACCGTGGAGCCGTTCTGTGGTCGGAAACAGCATCAACTACGGATTTTCTGCCGTTGGCTCGTGCGATTCAGACTCTAAGGTTCAGAGCACTCTGGCTTTACTTGCATTTTCAGATCAGGAACAATGCAGACTCGATTGAAGAGCATATTCTGGACGCCCCTACTCGGACTCTCTCCACAGAAAAGGAGGAATGGCTGTTTGAACAGCTGATGAACGAGGGGGCGTTTGGAGGTGTACTTGAGGAAATGACAGGTGAACAGGAGAAGTGGCAGGTACTCCGTTCGCAAGGTTACAGCTGGGATACTTCTGATAGACTGTGGACCCCATGTCCGTCAGGAATGGCTTGGACATGAGTGAGACGAGAATTTACATTTGGAAGATGAGGGGGTAATGGGGTAGTTGCGACGGGCTGAAGACGAAATCTGTCATTCAAGTGTCTGGTCTAATTGAGAGCAGGTAACCTTATTTTCCTTTTTACTAATGACTAGTTTTCACCATTCCATTTACTTTTGGATTTTCATTGCCACTGACATGCGTCAGCCTTCAGGACTGAAGCAGGTACATCACTGCTGGCCTATGTTCAGAATCTCTTGAATGACACTGTCGTACTCAAGTAGGACTTGTTCGGAAATTTGAGAAGAGAGTGTTTCTCAAGAGAGACATGAGTGCCAAATACAACGATTCCGACATTGATCACTGAAAACACGTCCCCAATAGATGTCAGACCCAAGCAGTTATCTCTTCGTTTGCTTCATTTCGCAACACCTTGTCTAGAGCCTTGATATTTGCAACTTTCGGTCTGGTACCCAAGAGTTTCACTCGCCCAGCCAGTCTCTTGAGAAAACGATTGTCTTCTAAAACTGGCTTCGGGCGATATTTGCATGCGCTAGCCGACTCTCGCCTCTGATCTTTGTTTGCGATCCATGAGGTACCATCGTATGCAGCTGAGTTACAGTAGCCAACATCATCCGCGCGATAGAAGCTTTCCGAGTCGAAGGCTCGATTGTCAATAGCACTATTGATATAAGTTGGGTTGCATGTAAGTCATCGTACGCAAAGCTCTGTAGTGTCTACGCTATTGTCACCGGGTTTTCTAGAAAATTGTTAGATTCATATGCAATATCGGAGGGCATAAGACGGTAGAGTTATAGTGAAAGAACGTACTCCACGCCGATATTGGTGTCGATCTTTACACGCTGCTTGCCATGCATGTCCTTCTTTAGCTATGTGAACCTGCTGGCAATGCTGTTGTATTCAGTCATTTCTACGTCCGTAAAATTTATCAGGAAGATCGCTGTCCTCACCAGGGACCTGTGTGCACCGTCTACCCTTTCCGATTAGCGCTTGAAAGAGCAGCGCCGCTAAATCAGCCCCAACGCTTTTCAGCTTATATATATTTATAATCGGAGCCCCGGCTGTAGCAATGACTATGGGAGGTACTAGGCCGAGCTCATTGATCTAACAAGTCTCCGATGTTGGAAAGGAACTTTGTTGTATAAATATGCCGCATTACCATGAGGCTAATGCATACTGCGACGGAAAACATTCTAACATCGACCATTGGCATCACCAGCACGCGTTTAACAGTGCAATACACCTCCTCGTCTTCGAACATCAGATTGTGCTGTACTAAAAAGGTTGTGATGGCCAGTCATAGCGGCCTTGGGCAAGCCCTTTGCATCACCACCGCAGAGGCGGACTGCGTCTGTTGTCTTCGATGTTTTGGGGCTGTGACTCGTCCCCAATCCTGGTTGACATAACTTAACAGCATTCCCAGGAATGAAAGCTTTCAAATTTTGCTCGGCTGGGCACATTGAGAATGAGAACATATTCTTTGGTAGCAGCAAGGCCTGTTTCAACCATGTGAGATTTTATAATGACAACTTTTGTATCAGAAGTGAACAGGTGATGCGCCGTCTCGAAAGAGGGATTGATTCCGGCGCAGATGCCTTGAGCGCCAACAATGCCCAAGAAGAGCATACTCGTAGTATCCAGAAGTGAGTAACCTCGCTTAATAGCGCCGGGAGATTTGACCAATCAAACTACGATTTTCGCGGTGAACTAAGTAGTTTGATTGGTCAACTCTCCCGGCGCTATTAAGCGAGGTTACTCACTTCTGGATACTACGAGTAAAGTACTGTATATCGTTGAAGGCGTGTAGGCAAACAACGTATCTATGGCCAGTTCGAACCCTTTATTCTCCCATGCCCGCCACAAGCTCTCGAGTTATAATACGCGCTTGGTGAGCTGATATCGTTTCTTCGGGCTTTGCAGCATCTATCTCTTCAAAATCAGCCAGCCCTGGCGTGATCGGTGTTGGAAGACCCTGATGCCAGGAAGAGGGAATGTAAGGGTACTTACTGGCTGTCTTGATACCATGGTATCTTGTTAAGCATTCATGACATGAGATCGTTCTTAGGAGCTGTAGTCGCTTGTTGGGCCAGGAACAGCATGGTTATCCGAGTGATACCATAAAGAATTCAAAGACTCCGCCCGCTATCTCATGCAACAACGGACACAAGGGGTGTTGTATAACTTCAGCGGCCCAGACTTTTACAATCATCGAAGACCTGGCAGATGTGCTGCAGGCCGAAAGATCCGGCTTTCAATGGCGTCCAGACTTGCACGGTTTGATCAATTATGACATTGATCTAGACTGTGCGTCCTCAAGGACAGATGTTTGTGGCGTTGATTGGGTGGGCGGGTGAGAAGACTGCAAATCTCCCTGCGGAGGACCTGTGCTGCGTAGTCCTGCGGGACAATAATGCAGCCTGTTTTGGATTCCTTATCGGCGTAGTCAGATGGGGGATGCGATGGCGGGACTCTGACTTGAGGGCTAGGACTTGGATTTGCTGTCTCTGGTGCGCACTTCACATCGCGACAGTCCAGCCTGCTAGGTTTCAAGGACATCTCAGTTGCCGGTCGGGTCACGGTTGCCTGAACGCGCGGATTTTCTGCTGATTTGGACCGTTGATATCTTGTAGCAAGTAACAACTGATCGAGATTGTTGGGCCTGATGAAGCATCAAGTAGATAACCCAATGGAAGTCTCGAGTGTGGCCTGCAAGTAAGTCGTGTCTGGAAGGCAAACACAACAGTAATGATATTTCAGTTCATGAATTATGGAGTAGGGCACAGCGCATTATCTTAAATTGAGACACAGATGTCCATCTTGGTCTTGGAAAGATAATTCGACTAAAACTATCAAACTGTCACCCTTGCTCGTTACGAATAGCGTATCGCCGACAAAGGCCGTCAGTGCTGATAACAATAAAAAATGTAAAGTTGAAAGTTAATGATTGTCAGTCAAGTCCGAGTTGGCGCCTGTGTGTGGAAGCCCTGGATCAATCGTTCATCCCACCGGAACTGTCGTCGATTGGGAATCCTGTGGCTTGCATTAATTGTGTAGACCGCTGATACACAATGCCCATACGAAGAATGCTGTGAGCGCGATAGCCTTCCGTACATCACAGATCCTCACTTAGGTCGGGGATCAGAACCCAAGCACACCAGCAACGCCCTTGCCACCATCCAGGTCATCTGCTTCCTTCCTCAAAACATCTGCCCTGAACTTCCTGAAAGCCGCCTCGATCCTCGCCCTACTTTCCGGATCCCTGGTTATAGTCCGGCTTGCCGAGGCACTGCCAGTGAGCAGGCCGGTTTCACCACCCAAGAAGAGACCTCCGGCACTAAAGAAGAAGTAGGTGGCAATGTCGCCAAGAGTTGTTGGCTTTAGGAGAGGAGTAATGTCCGGAATAGCTTCTACACGTGTCCCCAACAGTAAGCTGGTGCGATAGTTGATGCGAACATTTCTCGAGCAGATCCGTCATGGAAAAGAAGATGAATATCTAGAGCAGGGTGAAAGCTAAGGCGGAGCAGGGAAATAGGCCTACGTACCTTCTCTGCCATCAGCAAACTTCACATGCATAGGCTTTTCCGCCGTACGAAAGGCACTAAACATCTGGGTCCTGCTGCGCCTGATCCGGAAGGCAAGGAAGAGGCCTAGACCCAAGCCGAGGAGCGACCCAACGGTTGCATGTGTTCCCATCTTACTGGCAGCGGTCTTCAGATTATCTCGGTCGGAGTCTTGCAGGTCATGCTTAAAGTGTTCTTCCGCGAGCTTGCTGATGTCCTCGCCCGCGTTCTTGCGCAGAACAGCGAAAGAGTCGGCGGACATTGCGGCAGAGTATCAAAGTGGTACTTTTCCTATTCTAGTATGGAAGTACTCACAGAGTGATACGGTAAAGGTAGGCGGTTGTATGAACAAAGAAATTTGAAGGTTGAAAGCTCTCCAAAATTGTTTGACGTCATTTGACACGAAACTTTACCCGCTAGTACTAGCGCGTTTAAGAGTCGTCATATAAACATACTTCCTGCCCCTCTGATCTGTTTGCGTAGGAAAGCAGATTTATACGAATATACTATTGTATATTGTTATCCAACGACACAGAGGAACGGGACAACTGGTAACTCATGGCTCCAGAGAAAAGGTCGAAAGTGCCTCATCGATTTTAAAACATTTTTCCCGAGACAGAGCGTGTTCTCTGCGCATCTATCCACTACTCGTATTCCCACGCAAGTTCCATCGTACCTGATGCTAAGCAACAACTTCCCGCCTCATCCATAGGTCTCGACAGCTCCAAGACCCTGCACCAAGTGTGATATCCTGGTAGATATCCTGCGAGCTCCTCAGATGACCTCAAAGGACGATGGTGTTGTCTTTGTCGTAAAGCGTATCATTGAATTACTGAAGGAGCAAGATGACGTCCTTATAGACGTATTCTTCGATCTGGTATTCTTCCAGTCTGGGAAGTGTTTGGAGCGTACTAAAAGAACCTTTAACGTATCTGAGAACGACTTCAGCATTCTTGTCATGGTCTCTATCCCTGACCGCTTTCTGGTTCGTAAGCCACGTGGCAATCATAGATTCTGTGAAGTCTGACAGATCGGGGTCGCTACTTTCTTCGAGGGGAAGGACGAATACGCCAAATGATGCCTTAGTCAAGGCCACCCGTAGGGCAAAGATAGACTCGTTCGCACCCCAGTCACCTGGCTGCGTTATCCGTGACACCTGTACACCTATTGATTGCAGCGGTAGAGTGCGTGATACGGAGTTCTTCGACGAGCAGGTCCGGCTGCCAAAATTGGCCTTCCCACTGCTACACAAGAGCCCGCCACAAAGGCTGAGCAGAGGTCAAAGGGTTCTTGCTGATGAGCAACTAGAAATATCTCCTTAGTTTACAAGTCTCAGGTGTCTAAGGAATGAGCACGTCAACATGAGATGCTTATGAACTGACTTTTCACTGCAGTGAATTCGATCTACTATATTGTCCACACACCACTAGTCGCATTTGCGAGCGCGGTAACCTGGTTCCCGAGAGGCTTCTGTCTACAGTGTCGACGATCTTGACAATGCTACGTATTCGGCCTCAGAGATAGACCCAGTTGTCATTGAAAGCCTGTCAAGCTCGCACGTCGTCGTCGAAGACCCGCAATTCTGGATATCGGATGCATCTGTCAATCTGTGCGACAAAATTCCAAGTGGCGCACAGGAGTACTTTCCTCTCCGATTCTGCTTACGAGGCTGCATGATGCAGAATTTACTGGAAAATAGACTCGTTCAACAATCTTACCAATCTGTGGAAGAATGCTGCTGGCGCGACATGGGATGATCTAAGCCTCTACGCTAAATATTGGAATATGTTTGCGTCAAGCAAAGGGACGGATAGGACCAGTCCAACGGGCGACCAAACGGCAGCTTGGGAAGTCGGTAAAGCTACGAAACCTCAGCCACTTTTTGCTATTTCGGTTGCATACAACAAACCGGCCGCCCAGCCAGGCATATACGCCCAAGGTCTCAATGCCACGAGCCCATCGAACCCTACCGATCTGGATGGAGCCCAATTGATCGTGGGGTAGCGTACGACGACATCACTCGAATTGACAACTTAAAAAACAAGCACTGCAACCAGCCAGGAAAGCAGTGTAGATTCAAATCCGAATGGTGTCACAAAATCGATTCTTTCAAGCAAGGGATCTTCCAGTACGACCCTCAATGCACGCAGACCTGTCAATCAAGCACCCAATGTGGCAGCTCTACAGGACTCATGTATTGTTATCTCGAGGACGCAGTCTGCAAACATTTGCCCAACGCCGGCTTGGACCACGTCAAGTGCAATCGTTGGAAGCGCAAGATGACAATCGGAGGGTTTGCGTGCCACGTCGTCTGATACGGACACAGATCGGATCACTGGCTTTTGTGCGCCAGTAATGAGCAAAAACGACCTCAAGTGCCGGAAGTATGACCATAACCTCCCGACGATCGCCGCCAAGCCGTCGCAGAATTTTGGGTTTGGAAATTTCTACTGGACAACCCTGTATCAAACGCGAAGTACAACAAAGAGAGAGTTTAGATCGCCTGTGAGGGTAAGGCTTAAACTGCAGGGAGCAATGCGCAGAGTGAGATGAGCAACATATTAGAGGTATCGTGAAGTGCCTGGAGAAGTCTGAGAAGTGCTGTTGAGTGTCTGTAAAACTCAAAGGAAATGCTTTGAGTGTCTGCAGAAAGACGAGGAGAACGCTGACCTTTATAGCGCTCAGTGCAGACCTTTTGAAGCAACAACGTTGGTCTAGATCAGGTATTGATTTCACGATGATTTGTCGTAGCACTCGTGGCTACTCTTGGCATCCTTCCAGTTGCAGAACTAATAAATTCCCCAACAACAAGACCATGGAGATGCGTCCGTCGAGCGACCTAATGACCTGATCAGGAAGGTCCAAGTCTTCCAAGCAAGTCTCAAGATGCGATGTTGAGGACTAAGAACCCTAATAGCCTCATTCTCTCACCCTGTGTGCTCATACCATGGTCTAGTTCATCAGTTTCTTGTAATACCAAGGCAACGCGAAACTGCATTCTAGTTCTTTCGCCGCTTTGTCTGCTCGTGCTTTTGAGCCTATGTGCACTCACCCCACAGCTGCCACCATTCAAACCCTCAGTCATTAGCGCTTCGACCAGCTCAAGCCCGTTGCTGGCCCTGGAACTAGGGTGGTGCTAATTGCCACTCAACCACTGGAGCTACCGGGAAAAAGTCATCCCTAACTGAAATCATGTGCAGTGCCCACACCGTGTAGCTCCTCCACTGCTTGAATGCTTGTAGATTTAGTTTTCGGCTGAAATTTCAAGCGACAACTCCTGCCAGTCGTCACTTCTACGCTACCTTTTCCAAAACCGCACACACGGTACTAGAACTAGGATAGCGATGCTGCTTTAGATGTCTTGGACAGATAGCTACCTATGAGACCTTGCTTATTTGTATGCTCTAGAGCGGTATTACGCACGCCCGCGTCAGTCTGAACTATTTACGGCGAGGTTAATGCCTGATAAGAAGTTTGTGTATTGGTTCAGATTTTCCGGCGTTGAATGGTACGCGTATTGCAAAGTACAGAGAAAGCGTTTGACCGGGCAGAGGGTCATTGATTTCATTGACTACTATGAAACGAATTCTAGGCCAAATCGAATAGATGACCCCAGCGCGTATCAGCCTCGATGGGAATGATGTTAATTGATGCGATGAAATCTACGTACCCAGTCACAGAGCAGGTTTCTCAGAAAGGAAAAGGTTCCAATTTGAATGTTGCAGTAGCCCGGAATGACTGCTTTGGACCTTTATCCCCTCCATACGAATTCATGCGGTATCACAGAAATCTCATACAAGGCCCTTTTTAGATGAAACGCATACTACATACAATCGCATCACTAGTATTACAAAGCTGTCTCCACGAAGCTGTCTCCACACCGAATACTCAGACAGTAAGGTATTGAATGAGGGAAGTAGAAGTAGAACCCCGCAAGCACCGAATACTTCCGCAAGAACAAAACGATCTCGCAACCCATTCTCTCGTAAAGCCATCACATCAGGACCCCTACATCACCACGTCCTTCCCTCAGAAGAGAAGAACATCTCTAGGCTTGCTCCTCTTCAGCCCCGAATCAATCTCATCCACGACATCATGACCCGTATAGTTAGCCCAAGCGACACAAGTCTGCATGACACTGTTTGGCAAGACCCTCTTCTGCAGGAGCGTCTCCTGCTCGATGGTGTTGATGTACAACCCGGCGCTGACATGCCATGCGATGTGGCAATGGAACGGCCACACGCCTGGGTTGTCTGTATCATACTGCAGCACGAGGTAGCCCGGTGCGCTAGCAGTACCAGGTTGCACGAGTTGCACGTCGCGGCGCTGAGTGTTGTGCTGGTGTGTGATGGTACCGTCCCAGGTGCCGACGCCTTCGGCGAGGACGTTGAAATTGTGGCCATGAAGATGCATGGGGTGGGAGGCCGGGAACGTATTTTGAACGATGATGCGGACGGAGCTGTTAGTGCCGAAGTTGTAGACGTTCCATTCGGGGTCGAGGGGGTAAGAGACGTTGCCTTGGTTGGCGAGGACGAGAATGGGGTGACTTTGGGTGGATGATGTTAGCGAAGGCAGAATTGGAGGTTGATGGGATGGAAGAGACTTACTCGTAGTTGCCGCGGAAAGATTCGCCGTTCATATAGAAGAGAAAGCTTCCGGTTGCGTTGGGGCCGGCGGTGATAACAACATCCTGGGTTGTTGCAGGATTCGAGGTGGCTGGGAAAGGGAAGTATGGAATGGTTTTATTCAGATCATCCTGCAAAGCATCAGCAAAGCTGCAACCTTCCAGGTATGTGGAAAGGAGGGACATACATTGCCGCATTTACTGTCGTCATAAGGTGTCGCCGTCGTAGTGGGTAGAGAAGTGGTATCTGCGGTCTCATAGTAGATAGCGGCTAAAGCGTGGGGCTGGTTAGTAAGGTCACAGGTAGGGCTGAGATCAGATCGCATCCAATAGGCCGAGTTGGGTTCTCCAATACCGTTGACAATGACATCGCTACGTTGGCCAATCCCGAGGGTTACGACATTAGTAGTGTATGGTTGAATTGGCACAAAGTCGTTCGCAAAAACGGTCATACTGTGACCGTCAATGGTGAAGCGTTGGATACCTTCGGCACCGCTGTTGATAAGCCTTAGACGCATCTTTTTTCCGGAATGGAACTTGAACTTGGAGAGACCGGCATTTGGCACACACGATTGACCATCTGTAATGAGGGAGCAATTGTAATTCATCTTGCCATTAATGAGGTTGTTGTCAGATTTTGGAGGGGCGGCTGCAGGTGTCATGACTTGTTCGACAAGCTGCTCATATGAGGCATGATACCAATCGCTGAGTAGTATTGGTCCGACGTCATAATCGTATGCCACTTGCGAAGGACCATGAATAATCATAGCCCCGGCCAGACCACCAGCATATTGAGCGCTGTAGTGAGAGTGATACCACGACGTCCCATACAGATCAGCGAGGAATGAGTAAGTAAAGCATTGTCCAGGAGCAATTGGGCATTGCTGAACGGATGGAACGCCATCGAACCACGGCGTAGTCTTCTGCAAGATGCCATGCCAATGCAAAGCAGTGCCTTCTTCGGGCCCGGTGATATGATTGCACACGTTGACTGTGATGGTGTCTCCCCAATTGGCTTCGATGGTCGGAGCTGGGAATGCTCCATTGACGAGTAGAGCGCTTCTATTTACTCCGTCGGGAGCAATAAAGCCTCGGGCAATGTTGAAGTTGTAAGTGGGCCCCGTTCCTGCAACGAAGTTCAATCATTGCCAGATCGACTGAGGTGATACGGAGCTTACCAGATATTGGGCCCCCAATGTAGGGGTTGGTGTTGTCGACTGTATCTGATCCCCAGGAGATGATACCATTCACTCCAGTAAGAGAAAGACTTGGGGCTGAGAGGGTACCCAATATAGAGGCACCGTTGGTCACGGTTTGGGGAAGCGATGGGACCAATGAGGTTAGGGCAAGGATGCCACTCACCACTGCAGAGGCTGCGGAAGCCATGCTGGAGCGAGGACTGGGTGCTATCACCAAATAGTGGTGGACCTGTGGAGGTGATTCGAGTGGTGTCCTGTGTGATAAAGAGTGTGTAACCCGAAAGACCGTCGACCTCAAAAGACTGATGAGATGCTGTCGAAGCTTGTAACAGGAAATATTCCTCAGTAGGGAAATGTAGAAGAGGGACTGATGGAGTGGTGCTTGAATATGAAAGAGCGTTTTCAAGTGACCGTGAAGGTGTATTTATATCCGTAATGTCAGGTGTCCAAGCCTGTTTTCCTTCGTGTTGGTCTAGCCAACTCTCCGTTACAATTCGCCAGGATTGAACTTTACTCTGACAATTTTGGCCAGAACTTTCTAGGTCACAATGAAAGGCGGCCGAGCTGACCTCGTGTCATCCAGAACGAGCTGAATTTGCGAACTCATGCACCAACAGACGGGATTCATCACATTGACGGAAGCGCGGACAACGTGCCTGTAGGATTCCAGACTCGGGGCCATGAAGCCTCTCATTGCTCAAAGTACCGTTTGGGAAGAATAGCTGTGAACTGACCAGCCTTGTCTAACACAAGAATGATGACAGAGGTTGGGGGCAGTCGTCTGGGATCTCTTCATCGGGTATGGATCCTGCAGCTGAACTAATGCAGGGCTGCATGCATGTGAAATTTTCCATTGCACGTGCTGTGTGGTACAGCCACACCTCGTGCTCACCCGTCTTCAATATCACTATTTTCCTTTGTTGGCTAAGCTCTGTACCCGCTGACCGTCATGTGAACAGTAAGCCTTACCCGTGGTAGCTGCTGCTCGCGTGGCCATCCTGCCAGGTCCTGTGCCTGGTTCACGGTGCTAGCGATTGCGTGGTGAGCTTGTACATGTTACCGAGAAGAACACCAGACAGATCACATATCGCAGACTGCATTGTGGGTAAATGTGTGATGTTTTCTGCGGGCGTAAAGAAACCTTGGTTTCGAACGGTAAGCAAGAAGAAAGAATAGATAATTGATGAGTACGGCAGCCGAGGGAGTCTCATCGGACTTGGACGGCACAGTGCCAACAGTTTGTATGATTTTCTTACAGCGAGCTATCTCTCTGCTTGCCTTCGCGAAAGATGTGGATAGAGAGCAAGCGGATCGGAAAACGTCGTAAAGATGATGTGAGGTACTGCATGAAGAGATCGATGGATTACTAAAAATAGAAATATTCAGTCAGCAGCTCCTTCTGATGGCTGACCCCACCGAAGAGACCTCTAAGTGAGCTTTCTCAAATCGAGTTGACAGCAAGGGCTTCAAGGTCCACCGGGCTTCTAGAGGTCAAAGGGAGACCATGAGCATGACCGGCAGAGCCTACAATTGTTCATTCGGGCTCCCCACAGCAGGATTTCGGATGTTGCATTTGGCGGCACAAGGGGTTGGGGAATGCTCGCGATTTGGGCAGGAGCGAGGCTCTCCATACCTCGGAGCCGGTTCGACGCAGTATTACAGTATGGCCAGATGTGTAGCAAATTGCTCGCCTGAAGACTTGGCAGGTCGTGTACGCGGACATGTGTGGAAGAGAGGTTGAAATATGGCTTTTTTAGGCTAGCTCCTAGAGTGAGATTTTCGGAAAGGAAAGCCAGGGATGCGGTTCCTGATTTTTCGCTTAACTGGCATTATGATCTGCAAATTTTCTTAGTAGTTCAGGACCTTTTTTGGGGGCGTCTGCGCGATCTTTAGGTTGAGTGACTAGAAACGCCGTGTGTCTGAGTCCGTCTATAGGATAATATGATACTTGACGCATAGCCTGTACATCCGTGGCACCTTGCTTTTTTCTTTTCCAAAGAGTTGTGAAACTGTGTGAGAGTTGAAATGTCAGAATGGTAGTTCATTGCGGGATGGCCGTCACTAGGTGCTGAGAAGAATTGTTATCGGTATGGTAATAGCTAGCTTTATGGCCTCTCGGACTTATTCTTGGTCAGTAGTGGACTAGGCTTGAAGCCGCCAAGTCTTTGTGTTAAGACTCGGGTCAACTTTACTGTCCAGTCCAGTGGTAGGAAACATGTGATTCTTTGCAGACTTCAATGAATGTTGTACTCTGTCCTGTGAGTCCAAAAATTTAATAGGCGGTAGATCCTGCCAACTCAGAGCTGAGCCAAATCCGTTCCCGCTTACCAGTTGGTTGGGTCGGCTACGCCGCACACTTACTTCATCGCTCGCCCGCAGCGCCCCATTTCCCCCTGTCCGAGGGGTCCTTGGGGCTCAGAAGTCAAAAAGGCTGAGACCCGCTCGGGGCATTAAGGATAGGCAGATCAGGGACCTTGGACAGCCAATGTCACGATGAGAACGTTAGGAAAATCAGAAGAGCGGTAACGACATCAACGATGGTCCCGTCACCAAAAAAAAAAAGAAACAACACAAAAAACAATCACTCTGCCTTCGACATATCAGGCAGAGAATAATGATTCAATGTCGCAGCTTTGATACAGCAAGGCTGCTGCAGGTACTCTATCTTTGCCGACTGCCGGAAGACGTCGGGCCTATTATTCCCCACAATGTGGCTTGCTTAAGTATGCGGCAATACCTTCATGGGCATCATTTAGCCTATGCGACTTAATGCTTTGGATCAGATGCGTTGCGCGACAAAGACCGAATAACGCCAAGAAGTGTGCAAGAGATTGGGCCGTGCAGACGATGTAACCGTATGTGGGGGAGGTGGGGGAAAGGGGGCGCTAACGATTCTTGCCAAATTCCATCTTTCCAGCAAAAATTAACATTTGGTAAGCGAACATCGACTGGTTATTCGGATGGTGTATCGCTTTACTCGACAGTCTATTGCTTGCAAAAGAGCCGCTTTACGTACCGAAAGCGAGCGAGACAACTCTGCAGAATACTACGCTACTGCAGGAACCTGATGGCTTCGCAAAGTACTACCATTTCCGGACGTAGTACTACTCGCGCGACCCGCCTGTGTACCACTTCGTCGCTGCCGTGAATCCCAATCGTTTGTGGAGACCTGATCGACAACAGGGGGCGTTCCACGTGGCAAGTTTGCTAAGTGTCTGCTCACTTCTTGGCATCTGAAGTTCATGTTCTTGTGATCTTTTACCAGGATAGTATCAACTCTATTCCCCCCAATGTAACATGCCGAGCAGTTAGAGCTGTGTGGAGGAGCTACGGTTTACCACTGTGCCACAAAGAGGCAACCACACAGCCTGATAGACTGCCAGGATTATCATGGCAGTCTCGAGTTTTGTCACATGATATCGAAATCTTTGACACTATTGAACTTTCCAGACGGGCCGTTTTGATAATGAAAAAAACAGCGGGAGAGCGGTGCAGCTCAATCCCTGGAGGCAACTTTCCGAATACAACTCCGTGAGTAGTAGTCACAAAATAGTAGTAACGAGAACACTTTCTGACGGTGCTCAGTCAGACTGTGAGAAGCACTATCGAATGGAACAAAACGGGCCGTCTTGGCAACGGTTCAGCTCGATGTCTAGGATCATGCCTTCGAGAACTCCTCATGAGTAGTAGTCACTGAGAATCAAGCAACGAGAAAGCTCTCTGACATTCCTCGGTCAAGCAACTACAATAGTCTATCACCACCCTTAGTCAAGCTATGAGAAGCGCTATTGAACGCGGTCAGATGCGAGCCATTCCCGTGACTCTCCTCGAGCCTCCGTCCTAAGATGAACGAGGCGCTAGCAAAGCGAGCGCTGGGTAAAGTCTCCTTTGTCCGCCACGGGACCACAACAGCATTGTTTCTCAGCCCCAAGGAGACTGAAGTTTTTGACTCATTCCCTGGGCGCGTAGCGAAGATTTGCGTCGTAGTTTCCTTAGATATCTAGTAAGGACGCGGCCAAATCGTGTGCCCTTCACCTTCACGGCAAGAATCGCGCCGGTGAAGAATTCAGCCGATATTCTCCAACGACACCCCGGAAACGCCTGAAGGGCCTCAGCTTGGCCAGCCAACGCTGGTCTCGCTGCCTCAAACATTACCATCGGCGATCAAGCTCCAAAGAGTGGAGTAGGTAAGAGAGGATCATGATAGAGTGCTTACCGTCGTAAAATGCCCAATTATAGGACTCACAAGCAATGCCCCATGACGGCTCGGTGATCTCGATATAGTCTAACGTCCGGAAACACCCGGACTCCACAAGACCCCACGGACATCACGTGAGATGATCACTTTTTTGCTGCGGCCTGCTAGGGCGCGGTCCCTGCACACAAGGCTGCAGCATTGTCGCGAGAGGGTTTTGGGGGCGACTATTCCTATCGCCGCTAAAAGTTCGTCGATCCGATGTACTCGATGTGCCGAATGCTGACCACCACCGTCCATTCGGATGCCAGCTCGGGGCCAGCTTATATCGTATTCGGTTGTCAAAATTTCTGACACCCCTTAAAGCTGCAGCAAAGGCGTGGAGATGGGTTACCTTTATCGTGTAGATGTGTAGCCCGACGGGCGAGGTCATGCACCCGTAAACATTGTGGTCCTGCGCCCATGTTGCTATGGTCTAGAGCTAGAAACCGAGAGCAGCCGCCGAAAATCTTGACTCTTACTGTTGCTGAGCGTTGGCCTCCACGTGGGCAACCGCTTCCAGCATCCCCAGCTTCTGGCCCGCAAAGTCGAGAAGGTACTTCGTCCCAACCCTTCGCTTACGAGGAACCAGAGGAATCAGCTCCGAAATTGAAATTCCGCACTTTCTGAGACATCCAGAACTCGAAGCATCCTTGGCACCACTCTATCAACGGCTCCCGTCTTTCCTTAGCTTCGAATTTCCACTATGGCCGCCATCGTTCGTCAAGCGACAACCAACAGATGACTAAATGGTTTAGTGGGCATTGCGAAATCGGAGCAACTTTGTTGGTTTTGCACTCCAGAGTTTGGCTTTGGTGGGGAGATCAAAACGCTCAGGCAGTCTGGATCCTCACGGTGGTGGAGAAGGACAAAGGCCAACGTAAAAGATTCATGGAGAACAGACTTCGGGCACAAAGATATGTTTGGCGGAAAGTGGTAGATGAAACAGCGAA